TTAAATATTATGCAAATTTAGATTACCGAAAATTCGTTCGGCATTGTCAGCTTCACGTTTAAACTAGTTCTCCAAATCAGATACTAGGTAGGCTTTTTACAATAGTAATGTTTATCAATTGACTTTCCAGCTTCCAGGGTTCCAAATTCCAATAACTGGAAGATGCACGAAAAATTAAAAATACATATTTTAAAACAAATTAATTGGTGATAGAATTATTTTCCTGATCAGTAACTGAAAAATGCATTTAATATACATACTCGCTTTGTTTTAGAATAAGTGTGATTTTGTTTCTTTTATCCAAACTAAAGAAGAAGAAAAAACACTTTTGATGTAAATAATTCTACAAATATTCAAAAATTATCCTTTTGAATCAAACTTGAAAAATATTTGGAAAATGACAAAAATATATTCATGTTAGATGATTAAGCTATTTTATATATGTACACTGACCATTGCTTTTATAAAACAGAATAAGTAATGTTTTAGAAATCATGTCTTCATCTTTGAATTATTGGTCAGATATCAAGATAATATATTCGGATGGTATGAAAAACCACGAGTGAAGCAACAGTTGGGTCGGTCAATAAGGGTACATAAGCCGCATATATTATTATATTATATGGGGATAAGTGTTTACATCATCTTATTCAATTTCAAGCTTTGTGTGACCTAAGATTGTTGAAAAGAAAGAATATGGGCAGTTTTACTTATATAAAAAAAAAGAATATGGGCAGTTTTAGCAACAACAAATAGAAAGGGAAAAAAAAATAATGGGTAGAAATAATACTTCCTCTGTTCAGAATTATTTGATGTTTTAGAAGGTTTTTTTTGTTCAGAATTATTTGATGTTCTCACTTTTCAATGCAAAATTTAATAAATTTTTATAGTTTTTGATCTTTTATATTCTGCAGATTGTTTTCTTATTGGCTGAATGATATTTAAATGAATTATAAATAATATTTTTAGTATAGGAAAAATAAAAATTAAATGAATCCTTAAACTATGTGCAAAAACCTTAAACATCAAATAATTCTGAACAGAAGGAGTACTGATTAATTTGTCAAGGCCTTAACTCTTATGGAATTTCGTAACGCATTTTCAAAGTTGGGCTTGTCTCAATTTTACTAGTAATAGACAAGATTTGGTTGGGAATTTTGACAAGTTTTAATGCCTTGCACGCAACAAATCATGAGACTAAAATACTGGCTGAGGTTTTCGATTCTCTTTTCTTGAAAATGGCAAAGAAAGAATCTATATATATATATATATATATATACCCAGCCTATGAGTATTTTCATATTATAGGTGCTCCCATTTGACCAGTCAAAATTGTCTTATACTCCATTAGAAAAATCTGTGAGCTACTCGACGGTTATACTCACCTTGAATGGATTAGTCAAGATTTGGATCATCCTTGGTCATCAAAAATAAAACATTGTGTATATTGTTTCGCTGGAATAATCTTTCAAGGTTGATTTCTGATAGGGACAAAACTAAATAAAAAGATCGGGTTATTTCATGAGACTTTAGTATAGTCTATTCGACTATTTTTTGGGTTGTTTTTGGATCCAAGTCAAGAAAATGTCACTAAGTGAAGAAGGAGAAACTGTTAGCTTTTTGGTGCTATTTGAGAAACTGTTAGCTACATTGCAAATTTTGTTTTTTTGTTTTTTTTTTTTTGAAACTTACATTGCAAATTTTGTTCCTCATCTAATTTATTATTTCTCTATTTGTTACGTGACGAATAAGGCAGAGAAAACATGAAGGTGTGGCCGTGGCCCGTGTGACACAGTCTCGGTCAACTGTCTCGCTTCTCCGACATTCAATTTTTTTTCTCTCCGACATTCATGGTCCAGTCTTCAGTGAATTTCAAGCATAAAACTATAGAATCATCAAATTTTTTGAATACTTTTCATATGATATGATTCGTGAAGACCCGCATGTAGAAGAAATGATGAATTGAACAAACACTGTAAGAAGAGCTCACACAAGTGTCCTCGAAACTAGCTGACCTATTCTCCGTTTATTTTTTGCATTTTTAGGTTGAAGAGTTTTTTTTACCTACGAAGATCGGACATATGAAATACTAAATGCCGAAATAATACATATATTATATTGGGATTACTAATTGAGAAGATATATATATATACACTATCTAATTATTGTTAAGTATTTGAACATATACATGCATATAGTTTGTTCAATTATACTGAAGATATGCATGTATCTCACTCATCAAACATCAATATAAATTATTTCAGTGATATCCAATATAATTGGTACGATTCAAAGAAGTTTTTGTAGCGTTTTTGTGCAAAAGAAAACTTTATCAAAAAATATCAGCAGTAAAAAATACTCGAAAAATATAGTGTATATATATTATTAAATATATTTAATTACTGAGTTAATTAGCTCAATAATCATAAACTAAGTCGAATTTGCTAAAATGACCAGGATCTCACCTAAAACTATTGATACTGTCTACTATAAGATGGTTATCAACAAATACCATATTATCTCCATAAAGTTTTGCCACGTCATTTGTTGAATTCTGACAAGAGATATGATGATTTTATAGGATGGCTGGGAGATTATGGAGTAGGGGAAATATCTTCTTCCGTTAATCACAGCCACACAAATTATTCCGCCACACGAATAATATACATTATAATAACAAATTATATATTTTATTATAGATTAATAACTATTATATCATATATAAACATATAAATTTAGATATAACATTATGTTTTACACAATATAGATAATATTAGATTAATAACAACAATGAGTTATATAGATGATTAAAAATACTATCAATATAATTAGCATGTTACATATAAATAAATGTCTAACATTATAATTAATTATGTTAAAATATGTTAGATTGATAACAATAATGAATTATCTGGATTGTTAAAAGTGTTATTTTTGTAGTTAGTACACTATAAATACATATAATATTCTGGTAGATCTGTTAGCAGTCTGACAATAAAATTATAAAAGTAATCAGCTAAATACACACTATTATATATGTTAGCACCAATCTAATAGGATTATCGTTTGTTCTAGCCGTTGGAATACCAAGTTATTTTTTCCTTATAAAGAAAGCCAGAAAAAAAAAACTTAATTTGATCAATGATGGAGAACTCATGGTGACTATATCGGTGTGCAACCAAACCAATGTTAATTTTTTATTGAAAGTTCAGATTGAAGTTAGAATTTTACCAGTTTTGATCATATACAATAATTTTCAGATCTAGATTTTTCAATAAATAGATCCGGTGATAGTGATTTGATATTATTGAGAAATTTTGTCTTTGAAGATACAATCTGAAAAAAGAGAAAGGAGAAAAAAGAAAAAGAAAGAGAAAGAGATATGATATGCATGGGTAGGGTTATGGAGGTGTTACAGTATTTAAAAAATTGTACAATGCTTGATCATTTTTGCAAATTTGAGTGTAAAATTGGTCATTTAATACAATTATTCTTAATATTTGGTTGAATCATGTTTACAATAAAATACATTCCCATTAATAATGGTATTAAAAGTTTGTTCATGATCCGTTGTTGGATGTCATTTCTTGGCTAAAATTATTATGACTTAAAGCGTTGAATTGTACAAGTCTAAAACAAATTAATAAAGTTTTATGATGTTTTAAAAAAGAAAGGAAAAAAAAAAAGAAGGCTCTCATTGATTTGTCCATGTCTACGGGATTCTTTTAACAGAAACACAATTTATAATTTATACGCAAGATTTAAATTAAAGCAAGGATTTAGACAGACAGTAAGCAAAAGCAAACGAAATAGCTAGCGTTCACACAATTTGCACACTGTCTTTGTTTGTCTTTGTCTTTTTCTAAACGAATTAATTGCACTTGCGAAAATTTATGTATGCAAAATTAAAGATTCTAATATTCCGGTAGGTACGTGTAACCATCTTAATTTAATTTTGGGGTCTGAGTTTTTGAACAAGCACAATCATATACAGATTTTTCTCGAAAGAGCAAGTGGGGTTTATCACAGCATGAAACTTAAAAAAGAAAACAAAAAGAAATCGTAAGAGTGGCTGCAATTCTGCAAACTAAGCGGGATGTTTTCGGTGCAACCAAAAAAGAAATAGAAAAAATTGAGTTTTGATAAAACTTTAGAGATTTTGGGTGAATTTAAAAATGGTTTTGATTTTATAACTAAAATCTTTTGAAGAATCAATTTAACCATAAAACTTAAATTTTTGTAGATTTAACTAAATATTTTATCTGAAATAATTTAAGAATTATTGAAAAGTAATGTTAAATTATTTTTTTAATAAAAAATCGATTATTCTTTGTGGTGTAAATATTATCTATATAAATTATGAGAACAATTACAAATATATTCTATAAATAAATAACACTTTTATCCATTTACAAAAATCCACGACGTTTCTGTTTGCAAATTTATATATGATAGACAGTTTTATCATTGACATGTTGTACCACGACAAACAGCAACATCGAACTTTATACCTCCTAGTGTCAAATATAAAATGAACTTTTAGGTAATGAACTTTTAGTTAATTACTGTATCGAAGAGGATTGCACAAAAAAACACTATGAAAAACTACAGATTTAAAAATATTTTTACAAATCACTTCCTTGCTATTTTGAGGTTTCTAAGATAACTAATTTTAGTATTATATTATTATATGATTAAATAAATTGAATTTTTCATTTTGACACGAAACATCCCAAATGTTTAGTTGAACGCACCAATACTTTTATGTAGTAAGAGTTCGAAAAATGTGAAGGTTTTTCTCATTGATTCTAGCAACCGATAACCTTTTTCGAGGTGGCAAACAAAAAAAAAAGTGGAAATCGACAATTTTCGTAAGCAAATATAATAAAAAGAAAACACTTTCACTTTTTAAAAAGAAAAACAAAATATCCAGTATGAGTGTAATAGACGAACAAGCCAACTCTATAAATTCATTTTCGTCTCTTCAATCCCATAACTCACTCACAGAGAACCCAAAAAAAAACAAAAAAATGGACTCCAGAACATATTTTCTTACATTTCTCCTCTGTATTTTCCTTTTCTCTCAATTTTCACCCTCGATTTCTAAATCTATCAAAAACGACCCTTTATCATTCTCTTCGTCGGCGAGTTTGCCGACTCTCACGGCGGAGAGACTCATCAAAGGTTTCAATTTAATGCCTCAACGTGACGTCAATGTCATCTCTGAAGACGGTTCTGAGGCTCCGAGACTCGTCGAGAGAGAATTCGATTTGCCAGCGGCGCTTGACCGTCGTGACTCCTCCGGTTTACCGTCGGTTCAGGATTTCGGTCACCGTGCTGGTTACTACAAACTTCCTAATTCAAAAGCAGCCAGGTAACTTCCAATTCAAAACCATAACCTGAACCGGTTCAAAAATGCGGTTTATTTTATATCAACCGTTTTACCGTATTTACACCAAAGACAAACCACCAATGCGGTTAACTTTATTATTCTAACTGAACCGGTTTCCTTATGTTCAATTTCTTTCACAAAACTAAACCAATCCGGTTCTGGTTTTCGATTCTTCACATTAACATTATTCTAAATCCAATGCGGTTCAAACCACCAATAGAAAGGGCTTGGAGTAATTCCGTTGACTAATTATCACCGTCTCGTCGGTAATATTGTGCATTATGAATAAACCAGGTTTCAATTGCTAAAATTTTTTTCACAGGATGTTCTATTTCTTCTTCGAGTCAAGGACCAACAAAGCCGATCCAGTGGTCATTTGGCTAACCGGTGGGCCCGGTTGCAGCAGCGAATTGGCTCTGTTCTACGAGAACGGACCGTTCACAGTCTCCAACAACTCTTCTCTTGCTTGGAACGATTTTGGTTGGGACAAGGTTGGTTAGAAAACAAAAATGGTCAACCCAAAACACGTTTTCTCATACCCTACAACTACAAGAAACCAATAATCTCAACCACTTCGCTTAATTTAATGTATATTATAGGCCTCGAATCTAATCTACGTTGACCAACCGGTCGGAACCGGTTTTAGTTACACATCGGACGAAAGTGATCTCCGACATGACGAGGATGGTGTCAGTAATGACCTTTACGACTTCTTACAGGTTCAAATTTTAATACTTTCCTCTGTTTCATCTCGTAAAATCTTTAAAAAGAGACATTCTTGAAGAATCTGAATCTTCTCTCTTAGGCGTTTTTCAAAGAACATCCGCAATTTGTGAATAATGACTTTTACATCACTGGTGAATCCTACGCCGGACATTACATTCCGGCATTGGCTTCAAGGGTTCACCGTGGAAACAAGAACAAAGAAGGAACTCATATTAACCTCAAGGTAAAACTCTACTTTTTACTCTCTGTTTCACCTTTTTTTTTTATTATACCACATTGGCTTTAACCAAACCGGTTTACATCAGGGTTTTGCAATCGGAAACGGTTTAACAAACCCGGAGATCCAATATGGCGCGTACGCGGATTATGCGCTTGACATGAAGTTAATCTCAAAGTCTGATCACGATAACCTCAACCGTAACTACGCAACTTGTCAACAATCCATCAAAGAATGCAGTAAAAAATCTCTCAAACCTCTTCTTCTTTCATAAACGTTACAAAAAAACGTTTTGATCTTAATGAAATCTTTCTCGTTTTTTACACGGTTTTTCAGGCGCTGATGGTGGTGAAGGTGAAGCATGTGCTACTTCTTACGTTGTCTGCAACAACATATTTCAAAAGATCATGGATATAGCTGGAAACGTAAACGTAAGCATCAAAACAATGTGAAAGAAGTTTACTAGATTTTGCTTCTTTTTTTCTTGAAGTAACTTACAAGTTTCCTCTAATCTGTTTTGACTTCTTTTGTTCTTGAAGTAACTTACATTTTGTTTTTCCTCTGTTTTGGCCTCTGTTTTTTGAAGTATTACGATGTGAGGAAACAATGTAAAGGAAGCTTGTGCTATGACTTCTCGAACATGGAGAAGTTCTTGAACCAGAAATCGGTTCGGAAGGCATTAGGTGTGGGAGATATCGAGTTCGTGTCTTGCAGTACTGCGGTGTACGACGCGATGCAGATGGATTGGATGCGGAATCTTGAGGTCGGGATTCCAACTTTGCTCGAAGATGGGATCAAGATGCTTATCTATGCCGGAGAATACGATCTCATCTGCAATTGGCTCGGTACGTCTCGTTTGCTATGTCCATGTGTTGGTATATACCGGTTTACCTTCCGGTTCTGATGCTTATCATAAAGCTTTGGTTCAGATTCCGGGTTTCGTATTTAAAATGGTACAAGAACTGGAATCTGAACAACAAAGTTTTTTTTGCGGTTTAGTTTCTGATTCCGGTTTCGCTATGCCTGAAAAATATTTTGAAACCGGAATCAAGATTTTACTCATAATCGTGATTAGAGGTAGGGGTGTCTAAACTGAATTTTTTTTGTTTGATATCGGTTTAGGTTTTTTAGTTTTTGAAATTGTTTGCTACAGTTCTGTCTTTGGGATATTAAAAATTATTGTTGAAAGAATTCAATCGGTTTATCTTCTATCCGGTTCGGTTCAGTGAAAAAGGTTTCGGTTCGGTTAAATAGCATTGGACACTCCTAGCTATAGTATCAGTCTAGGTTAAGAGGTTATAATCCGGTTTGTAGAAACAATGAATAGCTCATAGATTTTGGTTCTTTCGGTTTAGTTTTCTGGTTATTTGGCTTCTACTTTGTCCCTAAGAAGTCAAAACCACCCAATAACCTTTAAACCCACGTAACTGGTTTAGCTGAGATTGATTGAATATACGTTTCTTGGTTTTATGTAGGAAACTCGAAATGGGTTCACGAGATGGAATGGTCAGGCCAAAAAGAATTTGTATCAGCCGCGACAGTTCCATTTCATGTAGACAACAAAGAAGCAGGTTTAATGAAGAACCACGGTTCACTCACTTTCCTCAAGGTAAAACCAAACAAAACCCATAAACCGAACCTACTTCCATTTTGATTAAAACCTAAACTGAATTGAAATTGGGAAAAACCCCTCTTTTATAGGTCCATGATGCTGGACACATGGTTCCAATGGATCAGCCAAAAGCAGCATTGCAAATGCTTCAGAATTGGATGCAAGGAAAGCTGGGTACACCTACCGGTCGGACCGCTCGTCAGTGATTCCAAATACCGAACCGATTGAATTATTATGTATCTAGGAGACCAGTTTTTTTTTTAAAAAAAAAAACTTTAAACTAAATAATACATACTTGTGAATTAATGCTCTAAATACACAGGGAACTTCATTGTTAATCTGTTTCAATTTGTTGACTTGCTAACTAACTAAAGAGAAATAGAAAACAAAAGTTATTATTTTGAATGGTTTGCAGTATGAAGTTATAATATTTGGCTATGAATGATTTAGCTAATTGGTAACTTAGGAATTATCAAGAACAAAGTCAAAAACTCAAAATATATAACAATGATTTCGTTATATATCGGAGTCCTCGGCCTTTTGCTTGTTGGTTGTGAAAGTTGTCTAAAGAATTATGGGTAAGAGGATGTCTAAACCTGAGAGTTAGGTTGTGAATGAAAGACTTGTCGTAAAATGCAATGATAAAAAAAGATTGAAAGTGTTCGATGCGAGGACCAAGCTATTAAAGATCGTTTCATACGTTACTGCCAGGAGGTACATCTTCTCTCCAAAGTACTTCTACTAATAATTAATGGTTATGGAACTTTTCATAACAAACAGAATACTTCATTTCTGCCTCACAATAATAAGTTTGTATCATTCGTTGCTAGCATTAGGTCATTCCAATCCCCCGGAGGGAATAACAGTTTGTAGAGGCAAGCCGGTTTCCTGTGAACTGCAATGTTTAAAACCATTCAGACCAAAGACATGCGTTATTATGCCTGTTTTGCTCTCGTTTTTATTGGATTGTATTAATAATGTGTCAAGCAAAAGGGTCAGACTTACCCTTTTTGCATACTTTATCATCTGGGGTTTACATCAGAATTTTCTTTCTTTTATCCTTGTTTTCATTGTACCTTACCATTCATGCCTACAGAAAGGCATTGAACTGAGAAACATTTTTTCCATTCTGCGAAAAAAAAAATACTGACTTTGATGGTCTTAGATCTGAATCATTACATGTTCGATTTTGATCTAGTATTTGTGTTCCTCAATGAAATACTGCATTCACGTCATGTACAAAGTCAGACAACTTTGTTTTTGCATTAAAAGTCAACATTACTTAACTCATAGTTAGGTAAACTTCAATCAATGCAATTGGTTCTTTCCTTTCCTTTTTGAAATGACAACTGGTTAAAATTTATAAACAGTAATTGTATCTGGCTGTTTCAAAGAATGAAAAATGACTGCCAATATTAATCATGTATACTACTACTGCTAATTTATTCTCTTTTTTTGTTGTCTCTAGTTTGAGTATGATCCCTTTGATTGATTGAATTTAAAAGTCCATTAGTTGGGGAAGGTTTTGTTATATTTATAAATTTTCTTGCTAGATAATCTTCTTAACATCTTATCAGCAAAAATTCTCGATTAAGCTTCCTTGGTTGTACTGTTAATCTCTCTCTGTGTGTATCAAGTGCACGATGGGTGGTTGACTGAGCACGGTACTGGTGGTTGTGTATCAATCCAAATATCTTGTGATCAAGTGTTGAACCATGTGGGTAGCTGCTTTTGCGGAAAAGGAAATTATATTCAAAACCTTGGGAAGAATCTGGTGGCTCTAGAGGAATCCATGGAGGACCTCATGGCTATGAGAGAAGATCTGCTACAAAAAGTGCAGATCGCGGAGGACGGAGGCCTACTAAGGCTTCATCAAATCAAGGTATGGCTCACGAGAGTCGTCACTATCGAAAACCAATTCAAAGACCTAAAAAATGTTGGAAGTGTTGAACTTCAAAGGTTGTGTTTTTGTATCAGAGATTGTATATCTCTGGTTTATTTTGGTTTATATTGGTTATTGTATTTGGTTTAGTTACATTCTCACTATATAAGAGAGCTTTATTTTAACAATCAGATTAAGGAGAATAACAAACTTTTACGACTTATCTTCTTCGTTCTCCTTCACCTTCTCCAACACTAACATGGTATCAGAGCAGTGAGAATCAAAAATCCCACTCGATTCTGCTTCATTCTTCCGTTCTTTGACCTTGATTTCTCGTCGATCGTTGATTTTGTCTTGCTCTTCGGTTATTCCGCCGTATTGAGCTCGATTTTGTATGAGATTCTTGGCAGTTCAGCCTTATTCCAGATCGTTTCTCCTGATTGATTCGATTTCAATCATTTTCTTCGGTTATTTTGCCGAATGGTGCTTGGATTTTTCCAAGTTTCAGCTCATGATTGCTCCGCCGATCTGTTCGGAATTCTTTCATTCGTGAAGGTATATCTTCGACTTTAATCAGCTCCTTTGTTGAGTTTATTTTCCTGAAATTCAGTCGATCCAAGTGTTGCTTCGATTTATCACGGTGTGTTTGATATCGTTGTGCTTGATCTGTGATTGCTTCTGTGATGGATTTCTATTCGTTGTATCCTGGCCTTTTTGAGCGTATTGCTTCACCGAGAGAGATTGTTGTCGATGCCAATCTATTTGGAGAAAATCCATGGTTGAAATTGATGACAGATTTGGATTTTCTATACGGATCTCTTCCACGGCCACCGGATTTACGATCTACTGTGGCGTGTATGTGGTTTCTAAATTCTTTCTCTAAGCATATAACTTCTGGATATCTTTCTGTTGATGATGATGTTGCGATATGAAGATTATCGGAATGTAGATGTGTTGCTAGAGAAATGGAAATTTGGTTAGGAAGCTTTCAACAAAATCTAGAATATGGAATTGATGACGGATGGTTAGTACTGTTGCTACAACATTTAGTCTTCACATTCAGAACATATGTGCAGCTGGTTTTAAGAGAATGCAACAAGGATTGCTTGATTCTCCTTTGTGACCTCTGCAAGTTCACAAAATTCAGATTCTTTGTTGAGTCATCTACTGTATACTGTGGTGTTGTTCATGCACTCTGTATAGATTCGGCAGATGGCTTTCAAGATCAAGATTTTTCTAGACAGGGGGAGAATCTTAAGTTTGCTATTGATATAAGCAACTTAGACCTCTGTGAAGCTAATTACTATGGCTTTCTTTACTTGGATTCGCTGGTTTGTGACATCGATGTGAAGATATTCATGAACTTTGGAGGATTGCAAGTGATAGATCCTCTTGATGATGGTTCATTTGATGGCCTTTCTGCCACTCTAATTGCTGCTCTAGTTCAGCATTCAAGCCTCTTTGTCAAGTCAGAAGCTTGCCGTTTTGAGGCGTTATTGATCTTGGTTATTGAGAGATTACTTCAGTTTCACTCTTGTGTTGAAGCACATTTGAGGCGAATGGAACAGGGGTCTTCATTAATAGAACAGAGGTCTTCATTAATTGAGAGATTACTTCCGTTTCACTCTTGTGTTGAAGCACAGATGAGGCGAATGGAATGGAGTTCTCCAGTACTTGAGATTTTATTTCAGTTTCAATCATACTTGGTATGGAGGTTATGATACTATCATGCAGTGGCGGAGCTAGTAAATTTTTTTACCAGGGTCAACTTTAATATACAATGTATTTTAAATAAATTTTACAGGGGTCATTTAGCTAAATTTTTAACATTTCATATATTTTTTAAGAAAAAAATACAAATATATAAAAAAAAATATGTATTTCACCTGGGTCAATTGACCTCCCTCCAACCTAGCTGCCTCCGCCACTGCTATCATGTTTGAAGAAGGGCATCCGTAATGACGGGAATCTAGGAATGAATGGAGATGAATGGTCTTACCTCAAAATGGTCAGATCTACATGTCATATTTGGATCACAAAGTTGTGTTTCAAGACAGAGGGAGATCTGGCCTGGATTGGCTACTTTGATTCATGAAGTTGATTGTGTTTTTGCTGGAAAGGGATTATGCTTTGAATAAAAGATGTCTCTCTGGTTGAAGTGATTTCTCTTCGTTATGCTTGGATGTAGCAGTACAAATATTCACTGTGAGTTGGTGTTTGCCTTTGTGTGCAACACTTGAGTTGCTGGTGACAGAGTCTGCTACAGCCGCATCTAAGGTCTTTATACAAAGACAGAATTGTTTTGTGATTTTCTTGGATTTATGGTTGTGGCTATTTCTAGTCAATTTTGCACATGGATTGAAATCCTCTATGGCTCATCACCGAGACCACCAGAAGTGCAGTGTGACTTCAGTTCCAAGCCCCTCCAATTTCCATGGAATTCTCAAGTCCAAGATGAAAGTCCCTTCCATCTTGAGGGGAGTATCAGAGATTGTATATCTCTGGTTTATTTTGGTTTATATTGGTTATTGTATTTGGTTTAGTTACACTCTCACTATATAAGAGAGCTTTATTGTAACAATCAGATTAAGGAGAATAACAAACTTTTACGACTTATCTTCTTCGTTCTCCTTCACCTTCTCCAACACTAACAGTGGTCTTTGTTCAAAAGACTTAAGATTGAGTTATAGCTACGGGAGAAAAGTGTTTTTGATGTTGAAGGAGGTTGAAAATCTCAAACGTAGAGGTTTTTTTTGAAGTGGTGGCTCAGCCAATTAAGCCAGTTTTGGTGGAGGAGAGACCTATTCAACCGACAATTGTTGGACATGAAGCAATGCTCAAAAAGGCGTGGAGATATCTTATGGATGATGAAGTCAGAATAATGGGTTTGTATGGCATGGGTGGAGTAGGGAAGACCACCCTTCTCACGCAGATCAACAATAGGTTCTGCGACTCCAATTATGAGGTTGACATTATAATTTGGGTTGTGGTGTCTAGTGATCTACAAATTTGCAAGATACAAGAAGAAGTGGGCGACAAAATAGGATTTAAAGGTGTGGAATGGAACCGGAAAAGACAGAACCAAAAGGCAGTTGACATACTGAATTTCCTAAAGAGAAAGAGGTTTGTGTTGCTGTTGGATGACATATGGAGGAAAGTGGAATTATTCGAGATTGGGATCCCAAATCCAACAAGAGAAAACAAAAAGCAAAGTAGTATTTACCACTCGGTCTACAGGCGTATGTGCGAGATGGAAGTCCAATGTCTGACGACAAATGATGCGTGGGATTTGTTCCAGAAAAAAGTTGGACAAACAACATTAGCAAGTCACCCGGACATTCTAAAGATCGCAATAAAAGTTGCTGAAAAATGTTGTGGCCTGCCACTGGCGCTAAACGTCATTGGAGAAACTATGGCATGCAAGAGGACGACACAAGAATGGAATCATGCGGTTTCTATCTAAACAACATACGCTGCAAATTTTAACGCCATGGAAGAAAACATTCTTCCAATTCTGAAGTACAGCTATGACAATTTGCACGGTGAGCAGGTGAAATCATGTTTCCTCTATTGCTCTCTACTTCCTGAAGATTGTCAAATTTATAAAGAGGGGTTGATAGAGTACTGGATTGGTGAGGGATTCATAGATGAAAAAGAAGGAAGAGAAAGAGCACTAAACCAAGGTTATGAGATAATCGGTACCCTTGTCCGTGCATGTTTGTTGTTGGAAGAAGGAAGCAATAAGTCATTTGTGAAAATGCATGATGTGATTCGTGAGATGACACTATGGATAACATCTGATCTTGGTAAGAATAAAGAAATATGCATTGTGCAAGCTGGTATCAGTTTATGTGAAGTGCCAAAAGTCAAGGAATGGAGAACTGTAGAAAGGATGTCTTTGATGAATAATGAGATTGAAGACATATCTGGTAGTCCCGACTGTCCAGAACTAAGAACATTGTTCTTCCAAAAATCCGGACTGTCAAACATATCGAGTGACTTCTTCCGGTTTATGCCTAGGCTAGTTGTTTTGGATCTATCAAGGAATCCACGTCTCTGTAATCTGCCAGAGCAAATATCAGAGTTGGGTTTCCTTGCGATATCTTTAACTTGTCATTTACAAACATAGAGCGTCTTCCTATTGGTTTATATGAGCTGACAACTATTATAAGGTTAAATTTGGAATGGATGAGGAGACTTGAGAGTATCTCTGGGATATCAAATTTGTCGAGTTTGAGGACATTTGTTACTAGGATATTCTGGAGTGTCGCTAGATATCAACTTAATGAAAGAGCTGGAGCTCTTAGAACATTTGGAAGTTCTAACCGTAGATATCAGGTCAAGTTTAGTTGTAGAGCAACTGATAAATTCTCCTAGATTGATGAGATGTATTCAAATGGTTTGTATGAAAGAGCTTGGGGAAGAATCATTCATCATTACTTTACCAACCATGGATAATCTCCAGCAATTCGTTATATATATGGGGTTGTGGAATGAAGGAGATAGAGATAGATTGGACAACTTCATCATGGAATAGAAGTTCCACAACTCCATGCTTCTCTAACCTCGGGAAAGTAATTATGAAATACTGTGATGGTCTAAAAGATTTGACGTGGCTGCTTTTTGCTCCAAACCTTACATATCTTGTCGTTGATAACTCAGAGCAAGTGGAGGATATAATAACTGAAGAGAAATTTCTGAGTAGTAGTATCATCATTATTCCTTTTATGAAACTAGAATACCTTCACTTGTCTCATTTACCGAAGCTGATGAGTATCTACAGAAGACCTCTGCCTTTTCCATGTTTAAGGGAAATCCAAGTAAACAACTGTCCAAAGCTAAGAAAGATTCCATTGGATTCTAACAGTGGCGTTGCAAGTAAAGAACTCGTCATAAAATTCGTAGAGAAAGAATGGATGGAAAGGATTGAATGGGAAGATGAAGCCACGAAACAACATTTCTTACCTATGAGCCAAGAAGGTCTCTAAATTCTTCCGATAAGTCATGCTTATGCTTACTATCTTTTTGCTTCGTCTACTATCTTTTATTCAACCTAGCAGTGTCAAAAACTGAGAAAGCTCCCGTTGTACACAAGAAGTGTCGGATTGAAGAACTTGTCATATATTACTTTGATTTTTTTTTTTTGTTATTATTTGTTCATTTTGTTGGACGAATTTTGAATGTTTTAAAGAATAAATTTGAAATATTTGGGTATAAATGATTTAGCTAATTGGTAACTTACGAATTTCTAAGAATAAAGTCAAAATGTGTAACAATGATTACGTAGTAAATACATATTGTAATTAGCCAATGAAACACTTAATTGTACATTTCAATATGGAGCGCATTCAAGACACCATGTAATAAATTCATCAAAATACTTTTCAATCTAGAGGGTGGTAAAAAGTTAAATTCAATTAAGAGAAAAAAAATTAGCAAATACTGTTTGGGAATAATAACTAAGCAACTAGTGTAGATAGTAACTAATTAAACCTCATAACTTTTTTGATTCAACACCCTTATCACCTTTATCTGCTACAAAAGATTTGACTATTCCAAGTTATACAGAACTGAAACTACGCTTACACAACAGCTAGAAGATGATGACACAGAAAGTAAAAGCTTGTGAATTTTTACCGATGACCCTCGTAAGAACGATCACGATAATCTTTGTCATTATCATCATCATAATCATCAAGAATGAGAGTAACACCATTGTTCCTTAGAGAGTTAATAACAGCCCATACCTTGGTTCGACTCTTGAACCCTTTCTTTTCGATTTCTTTCTTGACATCGGCGTGTATGCCTCTTCCTTGACCATCTTGAAGCCCTTCCACTTTAAGCCTCATCGCCAAAACCTCTCCTACAATAGCAGCCGCCTTGGCGTTGCAAGTACGGCCACACTCTAGTGAGTTCTTGATCGCGTGCTCTACTGTTGAAGCTGTTGTCACTATTCTCCCGTTGTTTCTGTCCACTACGTTTGCTGTTATGTACTTGATTGACATGAATAGCCTTAGTACATACCTTTTGAGAACTGTCATTGCTTGTACAAAACCTGCTTTTGATATGAAAATGGAAGAAGAAACCCAAATTTGTAAGCACTGAGAAGATCCAAGGTAAAAAGTGCAAAAACAAGTGAAAAAACTTGATCTTTTGCCATTATTGTCACTTTTAAGAATTGTTTTAAGAACGAATCAACTGTAGTACTAATATCAATTTAAGATTCACAAGCTGATGCAAGAAACAAAAACATTTGGGCGTTTTGAGGTTTCAATGTTTAGCTCACATTCAATTAAGACAGATCTATAATTTGTGCAGCAACTCCGATCAAATTGTATCATTTTAAGGCATAAACTGGGAAATTATAAACAAATCAAAAAGTGCATTAAAGGCTCCAAATTTGCGAACCTTTAACATCGAATGATTTTCAGATGGCTTTCCTATAAAATAAATCGTAAGAAGTCGAAAAAGTGTTTTAGAAAGATAAACGAACCCACTAAAAGAGAGACACTAGCCAGAGACTTTGTTTAGGCAAATGATCAAACAACTTGCGTGCATACAATACAAACTCTGAAACCATAGAAAGGAAAACTAATGAAGCGCAAGTTTTTTCTAACCTTGGAAGCTGCGAAAAAAATGAACGTTGGAGAATCTCTTGTTGTCTCAGAGAATCATAGATTAGTCAGAACTGAGAAGCGACGAAAAAAACAGGAGAAGGAGGAGGAGGAAGATCAAAAGCTCAAAACCTTTTTTTATTATTTTTACTTCACTTTTCTTTATTTTGTTTCACGTAAAACGTATTTGGGCCTTGAACTTCTCTAAACCGAAATAAAAAAGGTACATTAAATATTATTCTTTTTTTTTCAAAAAAAAAATCTAAATATTATTTAGCCCAAACAAGATGAAAGAAAATTATCTTACTCCCTCTATTTCAAATAATAACAGATGTTTTAGAAAGAAAAAAATCTTCCAAGAAAAATAGTTTTTTTTTTTTTTGTTTTAAAGTCTTTATGCATTTTTATTAGTTAATGATGCTGAATTGTAAAATTTCAAAAAAACAAAACAAATTAAGTTAATTGAATTGGTTCAGAATTATAAAAAAATGTTAAATTAATAGAATAATACATTTATAATCAAATTTTAATTTGTTTTCTTGTGTAATATTGTTCATTTTAAAAAACTTGATTCTTGTACCAAATTTTTGCTTTTCCGTATTTTCGAAAAGTGATTATTACATTATAAAATTTGAACATCCCAGAAATATATAATTACAAAAAACAAAAACGTTATTTTATATATAAAAGTTGCTCAACTCTCTCCATATGAATAACACGTCAGCATTTTAGAGTAAATATGTGAATGATTTGTGTCATATTTTTTAATTTAAAATTACAATTTTCAAAGAATTTTAATATTAAGTGTTAAATCAGTCAAAGAAAATGATTTTTTTTTATTAATTGATTCTTTGATAACATTTATGTAAATAATAAACAAGAATTTATGTTTTAATTAATTTAAATTGATTTTTTAATAAATTATTGGTTTTTAATAATATTATATTTTAAATTAATTGATTCACAATAATATATTAACACATAATAAATAATGATCAATATTTTTTAAAATAAATAATACAAAAATATATAAATTTTAAATAGTTGAAAAAATGAACAATTTTTCATTAATTAATTGATATTAATTGATATTTATTTTATTTTTATATAATTCCTATTTTTTATGATATTGCATATAATTTATTTCTAAGATTGTATTTTTTTTGTTGATAAGATCTCTAAAATTATTTATAACAACATACTAACACACATAATAAACAATGGTTATATTTTTATTTTTTATGATATTATATTTTAAATTGATTTTTTTAGATAAAATTTCTAAAATCTATTATATAATAGGAGAGTTTTCTCTCTATCTAGGGTGTCCACATCAGCAAACCATAAATAAATATGTATTAAATACATATTTATTTATATTTATTATTAATATATTATGTATAATTAAATATAATAAAAAAGATTTTAGTGTTAAAAATGAAATAAATGACAGTTAGATGTATCAATAATTAAATAACTTTGTAATACTAAATAAATTAAAACTATTTATATTTTATTAAAAAACGATATATTATTAAACTGAAAAAATTAGAAAAACCAATGATAATAAAAAAAATCAAAAGACAATTAAATAAATGAAAAAAATAGAAGAGAGAAGATAAATCAAAATATAAAAAAGAAGATGAAGACGAAACAATATTAGAAGATGAAGATAAAAAAAACAAAATAAAAAGAAAAGAAGAAGAAATAGAAGCCGAAGTTCATGAAAAAGAATTTTTTTAAAAAATAAGAAAAAAAAAATATGAAGCTGATGAAGAGAAATTTTAGAAAATATGAAGATAAAAATTTCAAAAATAATGAATGAGAACAAGATAAATTTTAAAAATATGAAGACAAAGACGTTAAAGGTAACTAAGGAGAACAGAAGATGAAGATAACAAACAATGAAAATATGAAAATAAAGAAAGAGAAAAAAAATCAAAAAAATATAAAAGTACACAAAATTAGAAAATTAAAAAATTTCATAATATAATTAAGAAAATTTTATTGTTATATAGATACACTAATAAAGATAACTAACATAACAAATACATTATTAACACAAGGCAAATATAAGAAATTAATTATTATACTAAAAAAATTATCAAACAAATTATTTATTAAAAAATATCATATAAAATATATAAAATAAACACAAATTAAAATCCGCGAGAAGCGCGAACTCAACCCTAATTGTTTAAAATAACATACTAACACACATAATAAATAATGATTATATTTGTTTTAATATTTATGATATTGTATTTTAAATTAATTTCTAAGATTATTTTTTATATAAAATTTCTAAGATTGTTGAGCCTGATGATTCACCAGCTGGGCTGATCCCCGATTTGGGCCCCCTTAAAACTCTGATTCCTCTCGGAGAAGACAACCTCCGTCGGCGCTTCGACCGCCTCCGACCAATCCTCCACTGTCTTGGCCACGCTCATCATTTTTTTCAGGCCCCGCGGCTCCAGCATCTTCAACCCCGCGCGGATCTTAGGTTTCAGACCGATTTTGAAGGCCATCTCCAGCACTGCCTCTGACAGCTCCGGCGCGTTTGAGGCTAACGCGATGAACTCACGGCAGTACTCCTTCACCGTAGTCTCTTGTTTCAACGTCAGCAATCGTTCCTCGGCGCTTGTATCATGCTCTGAGGAAAACTGCTCCAGAACTCGGTACTTCATCAGCTCCCAGCTCTGGAACGGATTCCTCTGCCTCTCCCACCGATACCACATGAGTGCTTCGTTAACGTAACTCATCCAGACCACCTTCAACTTTTCTTCCTCCGTCAGGTTCTCCAACTCGAAATACTGTTCCACTCGCATCACCCACTGCTCCGCGCTACTTCCGTCGAACAGGGGAACCTCGATCCTGCGGGTTAGTGGCCCGTTCCCTTGCTCCGGCGGCTTCCACACGTGTTGTGCGAAGCTCTGCATCTCCGCTTCCCTTTCCACCTCCTCCACGAGGATCGGATCTACCCGCGGTGGCAGATCCCTTCCCTTCTCCTCCCGGGATCCTTCACCGCGAACAGAATTGACTCGTGAGGTTCCGATCTGACTCGAGAGCTGCTCCGAAACCATCGTCATCCCTTCCGATCGTTTCTTCACCTCCGCCTCCTCGATCAGCCGCTGCTCGAGCCTCTCCAACACACTCAGCTTGCTCATCTGTTTCGTCATCTCCTCCAGGCTGCGTTCTAGATCGGCGATCTTTCCCACATCCCGTTGCAGACTTTCCACCGTCTTCTCGACATCCGATTTCTTCGGTGGCATGTTTTCCCGTCACGTTGATGGCTCTGATACCAAGTTTGTTAAGAGAAAAATTGTAAACGTCGAATAAAACAAAGGAAAAGGATATCTTATTCCAATGATTAAACGAGTCCACAAAGGTTGAGAGAATTAATGTGGAGTCTCTCACCTCTCCTTACAACTTTTGATCAAAATATTCGATAAAGCAAATCCTAACCGAAACTTCCCATAAATAGAAAAAGCAATAACGATAGGTAGCAAGAGCACGTGATGTGTTTCCTGACGTGGCTCGTACTGTGGGTGATATCCTCTCGGTGAGCTTCTAGAAGAAAGGCCGAAATTCCCTCAGGCCCGTTGGGTCTTCCTCTGGTACTGATAGATGATAGGGGGGTGGGTTGCCTCGTACGTAACATTACCCGGCAGTTCGAAATTGACCTTGTCCTCAAGGTCGAAATGTGGATACTGCTTCTGGATGCTCTGCTTCCACTCCCACGAGCTATCATGATCAGGCAAGTTCTTCCATTTCACCAGCACTTCAGCTTGGCCCGTGACGGCATTGATGCGAGTACCACCTATCTTCTCAGGCTCGACCACCAACTCCCCTTCTGCAGTCAACTGTGGTGGGATCGAGACAGGTGCCATTGTGTCCCCCCTGAGCCAGTTTGAGTTGGGACACATGGAATGTCGGGTGAATCTTAGCGTCAGGTGGAAGTTTTAATAGATAAGCTACGACGCCGACCCTGGCTTCAATCTCGAATGGGCCGTAGAAACGAGTTGCTAACTTCTCGTTAACCCGGGGAGCCAGTGATCGTTGGCGATAAGGGCGCATCTTCAGGAAAACCTTATCTCCCACAGCAAACTCTACTTCACGGCGGTGCTCATCAACCCACTTTTTCATCACCTGCTGAGCCTTGTTGATGTGTTGCTGTAAGAGGGCGATAGTGGCATCCCTGTCCTTTAGACGAGTCTCCAAATCAGCATTAGAAGTACACCCGTTCTCGTATTTGACCAACGTAGGAGCTTCTCTGCCATAAACCGCCTTGAATGGGGACATCTGTATCGCTGAGTGGAACGAAGAGTTGTAGCACAGCTCCGCCCACGGTAGATACGAGCCCGCACGCGGGGCTTCTCGCTCGCAAAATATCGCAACAACGCCTCAAGCCCTCGGTTCGTGACCTCTGTCTGTCTGTCTGACTGTGGGTGGTACGCCGTACTGAAGCACAAATTGGTATCCGCCAGTCGGAACAGCTCCTTCCAAAAACCACAAGTAAAGATCCGATCCCTGTCGGAGACAATCGTCCTTGGGAACCCGTGCAGCCGCACAATCTCTTGCACAAACACCAGCGCGACATCGACGGCTGTGAACGGATGGGTAAGTCCGATGAAGTGCGCGTACTTGGAGAGACGATCAACGACGACTAATACCAAGTTAATGCCTTCTGACTTCGGGAGCCCCTCAACAAAATCCATCGACAGGTCTTCCCAGAGAGCAGCCGGGATTGGTAAGGACTGTAGCAACCCCCCCTGGAGCCAACGTCGAATATTTGTGCCTCTGGCACGTGTTACAGGACGCCACGTACCTGCGAATGTCCATCATCATTCCCGGCCAATAGAACAAGTCCCCAATCCGTTTCTGCGTCTTCAATACTCCTCCATGGCCTCCACTTTTCCCATCGTGAAACTCCTGCAAGATCAGACCAATGATCTTCGATGTCTGTGGTATCACGAGCTTCCCCTGTCGTAACAGGCGTCCCTGAACCACGGTATAGTCGGGGTGGGTGGAAGCATCTTGCTTGAGCTCGGTAATCAGCTTCTGCAGCTCCTGATCACAATCCACCTCCCGACAGATCTCCTCAAGTTGAATTGCTGCCGGTACAGAGAGAGCAAACAACTCCGACGCTATCTCTCGCCGTGACAATGCATCAGCCGCTTTGTTTTCTAAACCTGGTTTGTAATGTATGTCGAAATCAAACCCGAGTATCTTCGTCAGCCATCTCTGGTACTCCAGGTTGATTTCGCGCTGCTCCAGTAAGAACTTCAAGCTCTTTTGGTCTGTCCTAACCAGGAACTTGCGCCCAAGCAGGTAATGCCGTCATTTCTGAGTGGCGAAAACAATTGCCATTAGCTCTCATTCGTACACCGACTTCAACTGCTGCCTGTCCGTGAGTGCTTGGCTGTAGTAAGCGATTGGGCGTTGGTTCTGCATCAACACCGCCCCCAAACCCACACCTGATGCATTTGACTCCACCACGAAGAGAGCAGTGAAGTCCGGTAATGCGAGAACAGGGACAGTGGTCATCGCCTTCTTGAGCTTTTCAAACGCAATCTCAGCCTCATTTCCCCATCGAAACTGATCCTTGCGCAATAACTCAGTTAGTGGTCTCGCGATAAGGCCGTATCCCTGGACGAACTTCCTGTAATACCCCGTCAGGCCCAAAAATCCCCGGAGCTCCTTCACATTTTTCGGGGTTGGCCAGTCCACCATTGCTTTGATCTTGCTGTCATCCGCCGCTACCCCCTGAGCCGATATCACATGCCCCAGATATTCAATCTCCTGGCTCCCGAAGTGGCACTTCTTCCTGTTGGCGTAGAGCTCATGCCGAAGCAGTGTCTGAAGTGCCACGCGCAGGTGATGCTCATGCTCTGCCTCCGACCGACTGTAGACAAGAATGTCGTCGAAAAACACCAGGATAAACTTGCGTAAGTACTGTCGGAAAACGTCGTTCATCAGGGATTGGAACGTTGCTGGCGCGTTTGATAGGTCAAACGGCATTACGAGGAACTTGTAGTGCCCATCGTGGGTTCTAAGTGCCGTTTTTGGAACGTCTTCGGCCTTCACCAGAATCTGATGGTACCCGGACTTAAGATCGAACTTCAAAAATATCACTGCTCCCTGCAACTCGTCGAGCAGTTGATCGATCATGGGAATGGGGTAATTGTCGGGCACCGTCGTCTTGTTCAAGGCGCGATAATCTACGCAAAATCGCCAGCTTCCATCCTTCTTCTTGACAAGAAGGACTGGACTTGAGAAGGGGTTTCCACTGTCCCTAATGATGCCCGCCGTGAGCATTGACGCCACCTGTCGTTCAATCTCCTCCTTCTGAACCTGCGGGTAACGGAATGGTCGGACGCTTACAGGTCTTGCACCGGGCTCGAGGGTGATCGAGTACTCCTTCCCTCTCGATGGTGGGAGGCCCTGTGGCTCCGCCAACACCTGCGGAAACTCCTCGACAATGCGAGCAAATCTCGGAGTTACCTCTTTGATCGGCTCTCGCTCCTGAGCTTGAAGCCCGTTATACTCAACGATCATACCCTCGCCCTGTTGCTCCAGAGCTCTCCACAGCGCCTTCAGAGAGACTGGGGAGCAACAGAGACTCGGGTCTCCTTGCAACTTCACCTTCTGCCCTCCGCTCTTAAAACCTCATCACTTGCAACTTCCAGTTTACCTTGGTGTCGCCGATGGTCTCCAACCACTGACACCCGAGGATTACATCCGCTGTCCCCAACTCAAGTGGAAGAAAACTGGAAATCAGTGAGAAGCCCTGCATCAATAGCTCGACATCACGAAATCAGTGAGAAGCCCTCTCCCTTGCACGGTGATGCCTGTCCCGGTGATAACTCCAAACCCCTTGGTCCTCTCCTCTTTCAATCCCAGTCGGCGAACCACTCCATCCGAAATGAAGTTGTGGGTCGCGCCGCTGTCTATCAGCACCACTATCCTCTCTCCTTTGATAGATCCGATGAGGTTGATGGTATGCGGGGTGGATAGGCCCACCATCGAGCTCAGAGACAATTCCGCCACTTCCGCCACCTCCTGGGTACCCTCGCCTTCCGTACCCATCTCGTCTTCCACCCATTCTCCTTCGCTCTCGTCTTCGTGCACGATTGTGTGAGCTCCCGATTTGGGCACTGATGTCGTGCGTGAAACTTCTCATCACACCTGAAGCATAGCCTTTCCGCCTTCCACTTTGCGATCTCCGCTGGCGTTAACCTCCGGAACGGCGGTTTCAGGCGGTTATGACTGAGAGGGTTCCGTCCTTTGGTGTTTCGAGTAGGGTTTGTCTGCTTCTCGTTGGGTGGGCCGGATCTGAATTTAGAGTATCCGGATCCTGCACTCAGTTGGGCCTGATGATTCACCAGCTGGGCCGATCCCCGATTTGGGCCCCCTTAAAACTCCGATTCCTCTCGGAGAAGACAACCTCCGTCGGCGCTTCGACCGCCTCCGACCAATCCTCCACTGTCTTGGCCACGCTCATCATTTTTTTCAGGCCCCGTGGCTCCAGCATCTTCAACCCCGCGCGGATCTTAGGTTTCAGATCGATTTTGAAGGCCATCTCCAGCACTACCTCTGACAGCTCCGGCGCGTTTGAGGCTAACGCGATGAACCCCGGCGCTTGTATCATGCTCTGAGGAAAACTGCTCCAGAACTCGGTACTTCATCTGCTCCCAGCTCTGGAACGGATTCCTCTGCCTCTCCCACCGATACCACATGAGTGCTTCGTTAACGTAACTCATCCAGACCGCCTTCAACTTTTCTTCCTCCGTCAGGTTCTCCAACTCGAAATACTGTTCCACTCGCATCACCCACTGCTCCGCGCTACTTCCGTCGAACAGGGGAACCTCGATCCTGCGGGTTAGTGGCCCGTTCCCTTGCTCCGGCGGCTTCCACACGTGTTGTGCGAAGTTCTGCATCTCCGCTTCCCTTTCCACCTCCTCCACGAGGATCGGCTCTACCCGCAGTGGCAGATCCCTTCCCTTCTCCTCCCGGGATCCTTCACCGCGAACAGAATCGACTCGTGAGGTTCCGATCTGACTCGAGAGCTGCTCTGAAACCATCGTCATCCCTTCCGATCGTTTCTTCGCCTCCGCCTCCTCGATCAGCCGCTGCTCGAGCCTCTCCAACACACTCAGCTTGCTCATATGTTTCTTCATCTCCTCCAGGCTGCGTTCTAGATCGGCGATCTTTCCCACATCCCGTTGCAGACTTTCCACCGTCTTCTCGACATCCGATTTCTTCGGTGGCATGTTTTCCCGTCACGTTGATGGCTCTGATACCAAGTTTGTTACGAGAAAAACTGTAAACGTCGAATAAAACAAAGGAAAAGGATATCTTATTCCAATGATTAAACGAGTCCACAAAGGTTGAGAGAATTAATGTGGAGTCTCTCACCTCTCCTTACAACTTTTGATCAAATATATTCGATAAAGCAGATCCTAACCGAAACTTCCCATAAATAGAAAAAGCAATAACGATAGGTAGCAAGAGCACGTGATGTATTTCCTGACGTGGCTCGTACTGTGGGTGATATCCTTTCGGTGAGCTTTTAGAAGAAAAGCCGAAATTCTCTGAGGCCTGTTGGGTCTTCCTCTAGTACTGATAGATGATAGGGGTGGATTGACTCGTACGTAACATTAGATTTCTAGCAATTTGTGTGCGAAAACTCTCAACTGTTTCCGTTGTTAGATCATTCTGTTATTTTACTATTTATCAGACATAACAATCAATTTACTGTCTTTGTTTAATAGGTTCCTTTTTGTTACTAACCAAATCAAAAAATAACAATGCTCTGTTTCAGAAAGTTGATTAGTCTATTTTCTTTTTTGGAGTGGCTTGCATGACAAATAAGATACTCAAACTAAGAACCGAAACAAGCAAAAGATCATCGAGAGCATTCCCAATCAAAAGGACAAACCATCAAACACAAGTCACATATGGTCATAAGAGATTACTTGAATCTCGCACTTTGGTGAAGATACTGTAGGACAGTTCTTAAGTTGCCTTGACAACTTGATCAGATCATCATCAATACATGTATCGTAGTATATTATCAGCTGTTCAAGCCGCGGCATTGTCTCCAGGAAGTACTTGATCTTCTCTATCTGATTCTCTATACCAGTTTCACCAAATCTCACTATCTTTAAAACCTTCACCGGACTTGATGATAAGCAAGTGTGAATCTCCCCTGAAAACTTTGCATAGGCACCCATCAACATCCACACATTTGACTGTATCTTTGTGTTGGAGTCCCTGAAATCATAGAGGAAACAACTTAAAAATCTAGTTTTGTTTCTGTTTAGCAGATTGTCTATGCAATAAAGGGTTATGTGCTGTTTACTTCAAAAACAAGAGTTTCAAGATTTGGACAGTTCTTGAGTAAAGCCGGCAATGATTCCCATCCTGATTTGCGGTGAGTCTGAATAGTTAACTGAATCATGTTGTTAAATACCGGTATTGGTTCACAGCAGAAAGTAAGAACCTGAACCAAAAAAAAATTAACCATATCATCATCATCATCCATATGCAATCACTAACTCAAGAGATCATTGATCAATGTTGTTACCTCAATAGTATCGCAAGATAAGTAAAGGATCTGAACATTGCGTATTCCCATGAGAAAATCTGTTGCATTGCCAACCAAATCTACATAGCTTGCATGTGCATATTGATCACTTGTCATCCCAAGATCGATACTAGCTTCAACAAGCAAACCAAACTCCACTTTCGGATACTTGCCCGCGACATAATCAGAGTATTCCAAGAAGACAACATTGGGCGTATCAAACGAAACACTATCTGGACTTTTATCATAATCTATACAAGATAGCGTTAGTCTCTTGAGGGTTTTGGAAGATACGGATCGGTTCCAAATATCAGAGTAGACCTTAATCAGAGCCAATTCCTCAAGGACATGACAACCAGAAGTAATCTTGTGGAAGCAATCATCACAATTTCCTAACATAACTTTGTTAATGTAAAGAGTCTTAAGCTTTGGAAGAAAAACATCTTCCACATCAATGCCATAAACATTTCCAGATTCTATTCTCAGACTAACCAGTGACTTGCTCTCAAAGACCTTTGAAGGCAGACGATTGTCACGACCTCCATCAAGAGTAACGTCTAAATCAAGATCCGACACTCCACGTTCCAACACGTTTAATATCCAGTCTTTGACATAATCTGGTTTAACACCATGTCCACACTTTAGATAGAAGGATTTTACATTAGAATCCCCTCGCAATTCCAATACTCTATCCACGAAATACATAAAACTCTCCGAATCTGAGTCTTTTCTGTGTCAGACATTTCAGGATGGATATGTATTACCGAGCCATCGAAGAAATCGAGATTTGGTCTGTAAGCAAACAGATACCTCCATTTCTTCGAGAGAACTGAGGTCAAAGCAGAGTCTTCTATGGGAAGGAATGACAATATGTGGCAAATCAGAGCTTCTGGTAGATTGCTGATTTTATCTTTGGCACCAATATTCTTCTTTTTCGATTTCATAGTGACAGATCTGGAATGAGTAAAACCGATCAGAGAAATGCAGAAGCTTATCACAACAAAAAAGGCGTTCTCAATTGCAAACAACTTTCAAAGTCTCTGTCTTTAAACAAAGAGCCCACAAACGCAAATTGCTAGAGAAAACTTGAAACTCGACACTACAGAATCACATGATCAAAGAGAAGAAATGAGGAAACTCACTTGGGTTTTAGAGCAGAATTCATCAAAAGGAGTAATTTTTTCAATTTCCACAAACGCAAATTGCTAGAGAAAACTTGAAACTTGACATTACAGAATCACAGGATCAAAAAGAAGAAATTAAAGAACTCACTTGGGTTTTAGAGCAGAATTCATCAAAAGGAGTGATTTTTTCGATTTCATAGTTACAAATCTGGAATGAGGAAAACCGATCAGAGAAATTCAGAAGCTTATCTCCCAAATACGGCGTTCTCAATTGCAAAACAAGCTTCAAAGTCTTTGTCTTTAAACAAAGAACCCACAAAAGCAAACTGCTTGAGAAAACTTGAAAGTTGAAACTCGAGTCACTCGACACTACATAATCACAGATTCATGAAAAAGTACCAAAATGTTTGCGTATTTGGGACAACCAGATTCACAGTGGTTTTCTAGAGGAAATTAAGAGAACTTTTTTTATAGAAAATTTCCATTTTTGATAAATTTTTATAGAAATTTTGATCATTTGTCATCTTCATTCAGATGATCCATTTGAATGAATCATTTGGATGATTCATCTGAATGATGTTTGTTTGTATTTTGGATTGTTCATTTGAATGATTCATCTAAATGAAGTTTTGTTTGTTTGTTTATTTTAATATAAATGTACATTTTCATCTAGATGAGTTTAACCTAATATAACTAAAATACTCATGTTTTCTATTTTAATTTTACTGTTAATCATAATAATTTTAGATATGATTTAAATAATATTTACAACTAAATAAATTTCAATTTACAGCTAAATATTATTTTTGACATCTATAAATTTACAATTTCATGAAATTTAATATTTTTATAACAAATCTCATCATATAATTGATAAAAAAATAGCATAAATACAAAATTTAATACATTATTCATACCAAACCATCTAAAACTAGATTTAGACCCGTGTTGTACACGGGAAGTTTTTTTTTAAAAGATTTCAAGTTTGGAGAGCATATACAATTAAATTTTTTATTTGTGTGTATGTTAATAGTTAGGTTATAAGAACAATTTTATATATCTGTCACATTACTTGAATGTATATTAACTTGGTATGGTTTTGGTTATTTATAATTGAGGATGATATTATTTAAATTTTCAATGTTGTCTACATAATATAAACATATATAGTATTAGACGAATATATATACATATATCTATCGTAATGAGCAAACAGCTATAGAGAATAATGAAAGCAATCTATCTTATTAATAAATCCTGAATTTGACATAAGTTCATAGATTTCAAACGTTGACTACTTCACTTGGTCACCTTTGTAGCTAAAAGACATGAATAGTTGAACCTCCAACCATAATTAATAGGTGAATATGATATATGAGATTAGTCTTTAATCTCATGTCATTGTTCTCCGTCTTATTGGATTTGAAGTACCTAAATAATTATATACAGATATGTTATTACTGGCATTTAGAAAAATATCAAATATTTATATAGTACTTACTTATCTTTGAACTTGTCAACTTCAACAATATGGGGATCAAAAAGAAACATTGACATCCCTCTTGCATCAGAAACAGTCAATGTCCCTAAAGCATATATTTTAGGTATAGTTAATATTTGATCTAACCATAATAACTACTGTTATCATGATTAAATATTAATAACTTAGTTAGAAACAAACCATTGTTGTAAGCTATACGCCAGTCTGTCAATACACATGTTATATTAAAACCACAGGCAGACCACCATTGTGATTGGAAATCATCAGCCAAGTTACCATAAGCAACACAACTAATTTCAACATTCCTATAATTTATTAACAATATAAATTGTTATCTTAATACCATACAATTAAATGGGTAACGATTCAAATACTTACTTGAGATTTCTCAACGTAAATCGTAGTCAACTATTGTATCTACGAAAATCACAATCTAGTCCGTAATCCTTAATCCTTGTAAGTCGTCCAACGTGGACAACATCACCAAGTAGATCTAATATCACATAAAGTATCAAAAGATGTTTAAAAGATTTTAAATTGAAATTCAATGATAATTATATAAGACAAATATGAAATACCAATAGGATACTTATGATCAATAGTCCCATCCAAAATATCCTCAAACTCTGAGAAAGACATAAATTGAGTATCGGTGGGGATTTCATATAGCCTTTTGACAATAGTATTCTGAAGTAGAAAAATCGTTTTTTTTCTGAAACCAAAATGAATCATTTACAACAAAATCATGTAGAGTATTCCACTGTCCTTCTTGCAAAGCTTGATCATAATACGAAACCAACACAGGATTAGTCATCGAAGCTTGAATCTTGCATCCCTGAAAAGTTCAGTATCAATATATTTAGATGTTTATGAAAAATAATACTATTATGAAGTAAATAATAATAACTTACCTCTTCATCCACCAGAATAAATTCCAAACCTTCAATTCCTTGTGGACCAAGAGTTTCCCATTTTTTTAAAACCAATATTTTGATTTTCCAGTCCGATCTCCATGAATGCAAATCAAAAACTCGGTGATAGAGTTCCATGGTGAAAGGGTACGATGTGGTATCTAGGTTTTAGACAACTGCAAAATCCAATATATATAAGAGGCTTTAGGTTTATAGTAATACAGTTAGATTAATATGTCTAATGGAAACCGAATATCTCGCATGGATATTTTCTAAGATCAGGAAACTATATTTATAGTTTCAAATTTAGAAACTAAATATCCATTAATAAATTCATATATTATTTTTGATTATATCTAAGTGATTTTTTATTTATTGATGATATGATAGTACTATTTATATAGAAGTACAACGATATATATAAACTGTGTAATATAACAGAAAAAACTTGTTTAAGTTGGTTGCATGTTAAGGATTGGTAATACATGTCTATTTAAAATTTCTACTACTCATTAGCGAATAAAAAGGCAAAATATATGACTACCAAATAATGCAAAAAATTAATATCCAAATAATACACTTTATTGAAATCAAATTAAATATAGTAGGAAGAGAAACAAAGTGTTTATTATAACAAACTTAAGAGAACACCACTCATAACAAAATATAAAATAGAATATAAAATATAAGATAGCATAACATAAGTCCTAATTTTTTCTTCCTTGAGAACTTGAAGCACTCACGTATACTTCCGTTATCTTCTTTGCAAGCCTGAGAAGAATATTTTTCATGTAATTAGTCAGTAAAAAAAATTCATAATCTAAAACTATTGAATGTTAATAACGTTTATTACTTGATCCCAAAGCTTTTGACTTCATCCAATGGCGTGGCAATAGCAAAACCTGAAAGCGATCCCTCCTTGTAATTTTCAATTGTCATTTCATCTAATATATACATAAGATAAGGTCATCAAGTTTTGAATGTGTATAAGGTTGTCTTATAAATATGAAAATCATATAAACGCACCAATGTTTTTCTTAACCAACCAATCAGTTAAGACACAAATAGCAAATGGACTCTTCCCTACAGGACCTTTGCATTTCCTTTCTATCTCGTAAGCCAAGTCATCATGTGCAACACAGTTAAGAGTACAATTCCTACACATTATAATTATTATGATTATATTGTATCTCAAATAATGATATAAAAATATGAAACCATTATATGTATTACTTACTCATGATCTTTAATTCGGAATCTCAGTGTTGGAACACTTTTGTCATCGGGATAAACAACTGTTACCATATTTTCGACATGATCCAGAACACCAATCAAATCTGGATTAAAAAATATTGTAGTACAACAACTGATCAATATTACACAATCAATCATACAATACTATAATCGATAACACTAACGTAGTTAAATACATAATTAATAAAGATAAATGTTAATACTTACCAACAGGGTAGAAGTGGCTGTAAAGCTTATTGTAAACATGAAATCAACAAAACGAAGAAAAGGATCTCCAGTCAAAGGTCGGATGGAACTGACCTTAGTTTCACCATCTAAAATTATTTGCTTAACGTGTCTTGTAGTCCGTTCTTCCCACTTAGAAGGAATTAGTTTGAATTTGGATAACTGCACCCAATTTCCTTCTTACAAAACGTATTCGAAATAGGATAGATTGAGGTTACTAACGTAGGCAGAAATTCTGCAACCCTGTTAGGGTAATTGATATAAAACATTAGTAGCAAAACGATATGAAGTACTAATAATATAAAACATTGATAGAGATGAGTATCAAACTTACATTCTCATCAACCAATATGAAATTCATCACACGAAGACCGTCAGCATCAAAGGCCCCCCCCATCTCTTTAAAATCTTCACCTTAATTGTCCAACCATCCTTCCAAGATTGTAACTCATGCACCATTTGGTATTCACGCATTTTGTTTGAGTTTCCGATTAAAGATGAATAAAATGGTTTGCAGCAAAGGTTTATATAGGAGTATGTTAGTAAATTAAGGATATGACGTCCCAAAATTATTTGCGTATATACGAAGAATTGTAAAAAAATTTGCAACAGTCAGTGATTTTAGGAATATGTATCTTGTTACTTATATCTTAGATGGCATAAATAACGATTATCTAATATTGTTTAAGAATATTTCCATAGTTTGGTTGAAGTTGTTACGATACATTTAACAGATTATAGAATTAAATATTAACGTATATTTTGTGCAACTTTAAATAAGTAATATGACAAATATATGGAAGTCGTATTCGTAATCTTTTTTAAAAATGATTTGTTATGTATATATTCATTATATGTGTTATCTCGCGTAACTAAGGAAAGATGATTATAGCATATGCAATCAAAATATTAACAATAATTAATTTAAGGAATGCTGAACCTAAACATAAAGTTTCTAATAATATTACTATCATATCTAAATTCTTCCGGAAATCTAGTCATTATATTTTCCAAATCCTGAAATATAAGAAGACAAAGAATTGGAGATATAGCAAGTAAGAACAAATAAGAACAAATATTTCCATTAATTATTTAGCAAAATAATTTAATATAAATCCATTATTAACTAACTTATTAATTATTTTTTGTGGTTACATCGTTAGTACTAAAATTAAATTAAATTACAAAGTTGTTAATAAAGTAAATTTATAAATGAACGATTGTATTCGATTTATAAGATCATTTAGTTCGCAGAAATTGTAATCTTTTGCAAATTATAATAATTATGATAACATAAAATATATTTAGGATAGTTAAAATAAAAAAGGTAATTGTTCAGAGTGTAACTTCAAAGAAATCTGAGAAATTAAACATAAGTCTTAACATTCAACAAAGAAGGAGGACATCACTCCTTTTGATTACTGGCTTGAAATTAAAGATAGTTAAGAAAGAGAAGTTCATGATTTGATGAAATCAAATTACACATCTCTTGTTCCAGAAGATGAAGGACTGTCGGCCGAATCCCTTAGCTTTTGCCAAATCCTGAACAAATACATAAAATAAAAATAAGTAAGGATAACTAAAATAAATTTAAAATTGAAAATGTGATTATTAAGGTAAGAAAAAATATTACTTGGTACGGAGATCGTTTACTTCATCAATATCTGGATGAACCAAGAAACGTGAGAGCTTTCCTTCTTCAAAATCAGTGATCGTAATTTCATCTATATAAAAAAAAGGAAATTATAAAGAGTAAAACAATTTGATTAAAAAATAAATTATCAAAGCAAAAATAAATACATAATGGCTACTTACTCTCATTTTTCTTAACAACCCAATCAGTCAATACACATATGGGATATGATCCTTTAAGTAATTTGCAGTTTGATTTATCCTTGATATCATAAGCCAAATCACCATGTGCGATACAGTTCATTGTGTTACCCCTAGAGATAAAGAAAAATTCTTACTAAATAGAAATTTCTATAATCATAAAATCAAATAAAAAATAGTAGAAGGCATTACTCTATATCACTGATACGAAAATATAGGGTTGGAACACTGTTCTCATCATTGAAATCGAATTCAACATTGCCAATCTCCTTATCAAAAATACCCATCAAATCTGAATAAAAACCCAATAATCAATGCATGTCTATATAACATAACTTTATTTTATTTTGTTGTGAATATATGATAAACAAAAAAGACGTAAGCATTTTATACAAAAACAGAATATTATTAAAAGGAAACATACCGATCGGGTAGTAGTGAGAAGGACAGTTGTAAACACTTGGAAAATCAACGATTTTGATGAAAAGATCCTGGCTCAAAGGTCTGATATAATTCACCTTTGAACTCTGATTGAGAATGATCTTGTAAGCATGATTTGTGGTTCTTTCATTCCAACCGGAGTTAACCAAGCGAAACTGTGAAAGTCGAAGCCAAAAACCTTCTTGGAAAACCCTTTTGTAGAAAGAGAGTTTGAAGTCGTTAACCATAGCAGCAACTCGAGATCCCTAGCAAATTTTAATATTTAGTTAAATAAGCAACAATTAACAACCACAAAATAATTGAATTCTGTGTACAATAACGAATCTTACCATTTTATAAACCAAGATGAAATACATTCTTTCATGGCCTTCTGAATCAACCGTATCCCATCTCTTGAGAATCTTCACTTTGATTGTCTGTTTGAACTCCTCCCATGGTGTGAGATCTTTAACCATTGAATAGTCGGCCATTTTTTATGCAGAGATATTGATGCTTTTTTTTAGGTTTTCTCTATGTTAAGGATGAAGTTATTATCCAACAGATGTGCGCTATATATATAGAAGATGTAGTAAATTTATTGAGTAAGATCGCGATGGTTGGAATAATTTTAATTGCAATAAATACAAAAATGGAATATTTCTTTTGTTAAAAAAAAGAATAAGTTAACCGAATCTAGTTCATTCAGTGTAAGAGGTTGTCAGTAAATGTATTAGTTTATATTCAGAAAGAAGAAAAAGGAAGTTATAGATGTAACGATACAAACATATTTTTATCAAATACAATTAATATTTATGCAAAGATACAGAGGCTATATTAATTCCCTTTATATAATTAAATTTTCAATATTAATAAGTTGTGTAACATTTAATTTTCATAAAAATTAAGAAACTATATATACTTTAATATCGAGATGAATATTTTATATATTACAAAATTAAATTGAGTATAAGTTGGTTTAGTAACCAAAATGTATATAAATCAAAGTGAATTTTATGGGACGTGAATCTATACATGCAAAAATATTTCCAACGAAAATAGCAATAAATGAAAAGCTGAAATCAGATATCGATCAAATCAAGTCAATATTGTCACCTTGCATGCACAAGTCCTAAAATTATGTATTCAACAATAATCCAACTACCAAACGATATGAAATTAATTGGTTACATTTACAATAAATTAAATATTTGACAAAAACATGCATTATTATTATATTATGAATACGATTTTGCCAAAAAATATAACCGTCTATATATAGTTTTATTAAAATTTAAAATGTAAATTTCAGATTATTGAGTTCATATTTATAAATCATGTATTAAAAAGTAAATTTCAGATTATTGAGTTCATATAAATACTGACAGCAAAATCATAATGAAAAACATTTTTGTTACATCATAAACTCAATAGTAAATTCAATAAAAAGCAAAGTTTAAACATCCTATAAGTAAATTCATGTCAGATACAAAGAAAGAAAGAAAGACATTTATAAAAAAGTAAATAATTAAACATATTGAAATCTCAAATATGATTTTCGATCAGTTTCTATGCTTCACGGAAGATGGACTTGCCTCATCATTATTACAACCCAAATTAATGACATTTGTAGGTTTATTTTGGGTATTCCAAAACCTGCAAATAAATCAATTATTGTAAGCAAACATATCAAACCAAATATTTGATTATATTTAAAATAAAGTACATATAATAGTTTACCTTCTAACCAAAGTTTGGCTCGTGGACAATCAGGATGAAACTCGATTCTAGAAATCCCTACTCTAGACCGAATATAGTATCCATCTATGACAATAATATAAATGTTATTTCATAGATATCAATAATAAATCAATATTAATAATATAATTTCTACTAACCTTCTCTTTGTTTAACAGACCAGTCGGTTAACATAACAACAAATGGTAACTGATTTTCACTGAAATAAGAGGTATTCAAAGGAGTATACTAAGAAGAGAACCGTTGTCATGAGCAGATACCAGTCAAGAGATCATAGATCACATGGAGAACACTTTTCATCAGCCAGACTCACTGACCCTGCCCATGAGAGTCGATCTTGCGTGTAATGCTCTCGAACAGTTATTGAAAGATGAAATTGTAGATATAGAAAAGAAACAGCAAAAGTATGAAAATGGATGTAAAGCATTGGCTGAGCTTCAAACTACAAAAATGCTTCAGGACGATGCCAACATTGAAGCGAAGCTAAAAAAAGCAGAAATTATGATTCGAAAGATGAACAAGGGCAAAATGGAAGGGCAACAAATATGTATATTCAGAAGGAAGCTTATTCGTTAGAGAATCAATTGACGCTGCAGGAAGGGCAGCAAATATGTATATTCGGGAAAAAAGTAATGGAAATACCGAATTTGAAGCCAAAATTCTCAAGCTCGCTAACAACATCTATTGGTGCATGTGCTGCATAACTTTTAGGGATTACAAGGAGATTACCGACCCTGATCACGCTGCAACAATCGTAGCTACAACAGCATTGTCTCCGATCACTCTTGACTTAACGTATATTAAGCCAACAAGCCTAAACCTCTTACGAGAAATGTGGAATTATGTTTACACTACGTTGTCTACACCAGGAGGAGCTGCATACGAACTCTATACCAATGATTGTTGGTGGTTTCTTCTTGAATATCTGAATAACTAGTATTTGGACTATGTTGCTTTTATCTTCCTGAATCTCCAGTACTTGTAGTTATCAGTTTTTGTCTTTTTTTTATGTTCCTAAACTATTTGGAATGCACTGTGTAATGAACTTGTTATCGTTGGGCTTGTTATTGTTGCTTTTACCTATTAACTAGCTTATAATACTCAATTTAAAGACAGAACCAATTATCACGGAGTTGAATAGCTCTTATCAAGATAT